TAGGTGCTGCATAAATCATTATTAATTATTTACATTCATGCAAATAACATCTAGGAGCCTAGTCGTGGATCAGAAGCCCATCATATTAGGTGCTGTACAAACACAGAACAAGACAGTCCCTGCCCCAAGGAGCTTACACTTCAAATTGTAAGACGAGGAGACAACAGATGGATACAGACACACAGGAAAGTACAAGGAAACAATTAAACGAATATGGTTAACATGATAGGCAGTGGACTCAGCACATCAGCAGCCTAAACACTGACAATTTTTTATAGGAATCAATGCAAAAAGAGAGAGTTTTTAGGAGAGAGCTTTGAAAGTGGCTAATGAGGTAGCTTTATAGATGTTTATCCAGAACTTCTTTTGGGTGTGTAGGGCAGCATGGCAGAAAGCATGAAGGTGTTTGTTTGAAAATTTAACAAGTGGATGATGGAGGCTGATATCATGGGCCAGTCAGTGGCAAGCATGTCCAGCTAGTTCGTGAGTGAGAAATGCTAGATTGATAGAGCGGGGATTGACTGTGAATGCAAGCACAATATGTTTGACGTGATAAAGAAGGGGAAGCCAGCAAAGGGATGCAAAAGAGAGGAGTGACATGGTCAAATTGATGGGATAGGGAAATGATCTTTGCAATAGCATTCTGAATGGTTATGAGTTTGGCAACATTGCATCTGTGAAGGCCAGACAGAAGGATGTTGCAATAATCCAGATGTGATGTGATGAGACGAGAGTTATAGCTGCATGGATGGATCAGAAAGGCCGTATCTACTTAGAGATGTGATGCACAAAGAATTGGCGAGAGCCAAATGTAGGCTTGTAAACTGGATATAATCTTCAACTCAGACCTTTCTAGGTCCTCACATCCAGGCTGCATGACAAGCAGGATGATAGTGTTATCCACAGTTATTGGAAAAGGAGGTAGCGGGGAGGGCTTGTCTGGGGGAGAAGATGTTTAGGAGCTTTGTTATAGCCATGTTTAGCTTCAGCTGATGGGTGGACATCCACGAGATGATGGCAAAGAGACAGGCTGAGATTTTAGTTTGGACAGGTCTGGAATAGCGAGGTAGATCTGTAAATCATCAGCCTAGGAATGGTAGTTAAATGGTTTGCAGATGAGATTACCCAGAGATAAGGTGTAGAGTGAGAAGAAAAGGACAGAGAACTGGAGGAGGATTCTCTGAAGGACATGCTGAAGGAACAACTAGAGAGGTAGGGGGAGAACCAGGAGAGGACACGGTCATGGAAGCCAAGGGAGGACAAGATTTCAAGAAGAGGAGCATGGTAGATTGTGCCGGAAGCAGCTGACAGATCAAGGAGGGAGGAGCATGTACCTCAGTATCAAGTCAATCTTTTGATTTAAGCAGCTCCTAGTTAAATGGAAGACAGCACAAACCTGGGCTCAGATTGAACAACCTGGATTGATTTATGATTTTCCAAAAAAATCCCCCAAAAGGGAGATGTGCTGGTTTCAGGTGAGATTAGCTTGGAGTTTTTCTGGCGTTGGTTTGAATCCAAAGCTCAAAGTCAGAGAGAATGAAGCCCAGTGAAATGAAACAAATGAAAAAGCAAACGTATGTGAATCCTGGTGTCCAAAACCACATTATGGAAAGCTCTGATATTAATACACCTTCTCACCAGCTTCTCATCTGAGCTGTTGCCAGACTTCCTTAAGCATCAGGAAGTAGACACAGCTGTAGGCAGGATATGGGACTTGACAGATCAGTTTTCTTGACCAGGTTAATATCCAATTCTCTGTTTTCTTCTCTTTCCAAAGTTCTTCAAAGAAATGCCATTGGGTGAGACACTATTTCTCCCAGACCTCACCACCTCATTTATTCACCCGGGGCTAGATCCTTATCACTATCCCAGATCACAGCTCAAGTAACCAGCAAGGAATCCCCTCCAGGCCATGGAACCATTCTATGGTGGCCACTAATGCTTCAGAGTCTCCACTTCTACTGCATCCCCATGGATTGCTATAGTTACAGCTCCACCTCCCCTGCCCACTCTTTCCCTTCCCCCAATATTTTGCTGTGAGCTAGGACACAGGAAGGCCGTGCAGACAGCACACCGGGAGTCAAGATCCCCCATGTGACGGGTTGGGCCCTTTGAGGTGTCACCTGATGTGCTGGGATGCCACTGAGTCAGCCTATTTTGCCAGCCTGGGTCCCCTTTACCTGGCCTTGCTGGGATAGGCTCACAAGCCTCTTCCAGCCAAGCACACAGGCAGGGCCACATCCAGGCTGGCAGAATAGGCTGACTCAGTGGCATCCCAAACCCAGTTTATGTAATTTCTAACTGGGGGTGGGGGCAAGAAGTTGTGCATATCTCCCTCTACATTGAAGGAGGGGGCAAATTTCATAAAACCTTTGGGTTTGTATCTCTTACAGGGAGTGGACACCAGAGTGTTGGGGCAAACCCATAAGGCGGAATCTTTCCAGAGCCGATCTCTGTCTCTCTGTGCAGCGGGATGTGGTCCTGCCTGCCAGAATAGCACTTGTTCCTATATGGACAATGTAATGTACAGGCTGTGCGTGATTCTGCCTTTTAGTGGCTGGGCCCACAGAGAGGATCTCAGACCTGCTACAGCTACAACCTGAGGGAACATTCTTCTAGCCCAAGTGATAGATACCTGTATTTTTGGAGATGGAGGACCAGGCGCATGTTTGATTATGCATAGAAATTGTCTCTGTTATTGATTGATTGACAGTTTTCAGAAGTGATGTAGGCACTTTACAGGGGCATATGAAAATATCATTCCTGGGAACACAGTCCATGGATTATTTACATCAGAGCCATGCACATCCTTGCTCCCAAATCATCTCAGATAAAACCAGAAGGATTTTTGTTTGGTTGTCAAGTTATTCCAGATTTAATTTTTAGAATCTAAACAAATTGTGGATCGGCCGGTGTGTTGTATTAAAAACTGTGTTAAAATTGTAGGCTGTCACTTTAAATTTCAGGATATTTTTCTGGTCCTGCTTGCAGGCTAGATTCTGTGGGCTAGAGGGCTCTGTAGGGACGTGTGCAGACTGACTGCTGTTAGGCCCTGATGCAGCCAGCCAGCCCATAGTAAGGGTGGGGGAATTGTGCCTCTCTGTTCGGGAGGAGCCTGTTTTGGGGTTCTTGTATGTTATCATGCTGAATTCTAAGAAAGAAAGTGGAGTTACATTCCAGCAAGAGTATTTATATTTTTCTCTAACTTCTGTGTGTGTGTGCCATGAACATAACAGCTGGAAAGCAGACCATGGTGGGCTACATCGTTAATTTCAGCAGTGTGGTTAATTAAAATGTCAAGATACAAGATACAAGAGGACAAAGGATATATATCTCAAATGAAGGGTCACACCTGTGACCCTGATAACTGTGCCCCAATCTGTGAAAATAATAAGAATACCATCAAAGGGACAGAGCCATGGTTGCATGAGGTTATGACACAGAAGGAGGTTAAAAATTAACTCCAAGCCAATAGGAAATTGTTTACCATCTGTGTTATTGGTTGACCCAGAACTAGAGTGAATGCATTAAGGGTTCTTTGGTTTCTAAAGGATATTCCTGCTGTTGAGAAGTGACAGTACCACCTTGTGGCTGAACAAAGACTTTGCCAAGTAGAATAAATGAAAGTCTCTGCGCAACACTGTAAAAGAGCAACATAAAACAACTATGACAATTTATAACACAGATTTAATAGAGTCTATCAAAAGAGTAAATGGAATGGAAACAGCGAAGAAGTTTCCTTGGTGGAAATCATCATTGGGTAGTATTTCATTTTGCTTTGGTATGTCAGAGAATTGGGGAAATCCTGGCTACACCGAAGTCAATGGCAAAACTCCCATTGACTTCAATGGAGCGGGGATTTCAAGTGAGTGAAATGCTATGAAAGCGTGAAGGCTGAGATTTGCAAAGCTGCCTAAACAAATTCTCACTAAAGTTAATGGGTGTTAGCCTCCAAATCCCCTACGCAGCTTTTTAAAATCTCATCTGAAACTTTTAGGACATTAGCAGATTATTGTTCTAAGCAAATCATTACACATTTTCTTTTGCCCTTTTTCACCACGAAACATCCAGAATTTTAAATCTGCTTACCTTCTAAATACATACAAGGAAGCTTATGCAACTTTTGAAAGATAAAATCCGTTATAACTGGAAGGAATGAAAATCCTAAAAAGAAAGCCCTTGTCTTGTAAAATCATTTAACCTACAATGACTAGAGGTGGAACACATGCATTGTTTCATTTATAGTTAGTTAAGTTACACACTCTCTTTTCATATTTATTACATTTAACAAAATAACATGAAGGGTTAAAAAAAACAACTAACAGCTAATCTGAAAAGTAAGGAATTCCTGCAAGGGTCTCTGTAAAGGTAGTTCAGAGCTCTGGTTTAGTTACCTTGTAAAATTAACCAGTAATATAAAATATTTCTCAAGGGACTGTCAGATATTTTCCAGAGATTCATCCATGCAATTCACTTCCTCTTCCTGGTTACACCTCAGATTTATTTGTAGGGTAACTGCAGGAATGATCTTATTTTTTAATCAGTCTCACTTCAGAGGAGACAAGGTGAGGAGAATGGACATCTAATAAACTGTGCAGTAAAACAATTGCTCTTTGAGACAGGTGGGGATTGGCTCTAAAAACGGGTTTGAGTGTCTTCCTCCTCCCACTCTCCAAAAAATGTAACAAGCACTATGTTGGGAAACTATTAATGTCCCATTAGAAAATTTATTACAGCACTCATTCTTTACTGCAGTGCTTTGTCCATGCTGTGCTTACTAAATAATGGTACCTATCTTTATTGCAGTGTGATCTGTTTAGCACGGAAATAGCAACTTCAAGCTGCTTTTCACCAGGGCCAGGCAAAACCCCATTTTTAACTATAGTTGTGCTTAACACGGTTAAATTAAAAAACACCAGGTATAACACAGATTGCATTGGGATTTGATGCAATTGGGGAATAATACTAACTAAAAATTTTGCTTGTTCTTTAATCCAAAGGCCCAAGTACGCATGGGGGAAAAACAGAATAACCATGTGCCAGTATCCTTTTACCCTGTGGTGGAAGGTAAATTTCTGTAATTGGCTTTTAAAAGTGTGTGTATGTTTTAAAATGTTTTTTAAAAAGTTTTAATGTTTAAATTGTGAGTCAGGGGTCTGTGCAGGACATAAGTGTGGAGTTTCTTAAAGTATATGGTTGAAAACTGTTGGTTTGGTGTGTTTCAAACTAACAGGGTTTTTTACTCTGCAAAATGTGATGTGTTTTTTAAAATGGGTTGTTTTAAAATTAGTGTTTAAATTGTTGTTGGCGATTCAGGGGGCCTATGCTAGAGATAACTGTGGGGTTTTACAGTATTTTGTTTCAAAACAATTTGGTTTTTATTCTGCAAAATGTGATGTGTTTTTAAAATGGGTTGTTTTAAAATTAGTTAGTGTTTAAATTGTTGTTGGTGATTTAGGGGGCCTATGCAAGACTTAGTTATGATGCGGGATTTTAAAAGTATTTTATTGCACACTTTGTTTTTGGGTGCATGGTGGAAACACGTGCTTGTATTAAAAAATGCCTAGGTTTTAGAGAAACACTAGTGGAAGAAATAAACCAAAACCTGTGTTTGTTGTACAGCCTGAAATGGATTTTTTTGTTTTAAAGCTCTGACTTTTTAAATAGAAAAACACCCAAATGGAGTATTTTATTTTTTACGTTTACAAGACAGTTTCATGTGTTTTATAATAATAATGTTGTCTGCTCCACAGTACGTTCAAAACATGAGAGATCTTTAGACTAGAGGGTAAACAACCTCAAAAGAAAAAGGAAAGAGACAGCTGGAAAGGAAAATTCACCAGCATCAACGGCTGATGGATGGATGAAACCCAGGAGATATATTTTGCTCATTGGTTTGGTTATTTTATGAGGTTTTGTATTTTAAGCAAATACATAGGAGTGGGTGAGAAAGATGGTAAAGTTAAGTTTTGTAAAATGTTTATTTGATGCTAAATTGGAACATCTGTTTTTCTTAATCAGGCATGGGCAGCTCTCCTGATAATGTTATAGTCAGAGTACAGGGACACCTCCACCAGAACTGCCAAAGAACCAGGAATCTGCTCTGAGACCTTTAAGAACAGCAAGAACAACAACGCCAATGCAAAACAGCACAATAGCGCAGACGAAGCATCAGGACAGTCCAAAGCTTGTATACATCAAACTCAAGGACAAAACAAAAGACTCTGGTAAAAAGCAACCACGCAACCACAACTCCAGTTCCTTGGCGGTCAACACCACACCAAACCCTGAGAAAACGGTGAGTGAAAACACACATTCACAAACCTGGAGCGTGCACTTTAGGGGGTGTGAATAAAAAACTAAGGACTGAAAGCTCCTGCAATGCTGGGGTATCTGAAAATTATTACAAACCATTCTCCCAACACAATAAGCTCGGTACAGCTCTTTGGTATTCTAAAAAGATTTGGGAAAAATGTGACGCTTCGTTCAGAAAGCTAATGAACGCTGTATCTTCAGGGAAAGAAAGGAGGACTGGAACTACATCAAAAATCCAAAAGCTCTTGGGGGTGACTTTTTGAAAAATACTTCAGTTTTTCCAGAGGGTGACTCTGAACAGGCGTGACTAGTTGTGGAATGGGGTAAAAGGGGCCTCCTCAAGGGTACATATCAGCTCAGGCATAAACAGAAGGGGGGACAGCATTTGGGGGATAAACGGATGGCTGCCCAAAAGTTATGGGCCAGGGTCTCTGTAAAAATTTTTTAAAAGGCTAAGGAGGTGATGAGGAGAAAAAAACCCAAAAGAGATGTCCCCTATTGGAGGCTCTTAGACTGATGTGTCTGAGAATGGGGAGGTGGAATCTGACCTGTGAGGTGGTGGTGACTCTCACACAGAGTCTGATTTAGAAAATTCCCCAGAAGGATCTCTAGACAGGGATGTCTACTCCTGATGATCCTCCTGGTGGCCCCTTGGAGTCTGACTCTCAAATAGAGTCTGACATAGAAGACGCAGCTGATGGTCCCATAGAGGAACCCCCAAGTAACCCTGAAAATGCAGATGCAGACCCCCAAACAGACGTGTATATGGAGTGAGTGAGAAGTTGGCAAAAGGAACTACCTAGATTTGGGGGTTTGGTGTATTGTGAGGAATTTTGTTTTGTCAGTCTTGAACTAATAAATTTAGCTCAGCAGGTCGTTGAAAGCATACACGGGGGGATACAGTTCGTTCTCAATGACGTTAACAGTAGGGTAGCCCCTGACGATTACATTCAGTTACGTTTAGAGAGTCGTAATTTAATCAACCCTTTATTTTCGGTAAGAAGAACTAGGGATGAGCTGTCTGCTGAAGACTTCTTAAATCAGACCTCAAAGCTGTAATAGAGTAGTAGAGAAATGCATGTCGATGGGACGTTGTGCCTCATTGTGACAGTTGTAAAAATCACAGGCGGGAGTGGCCGTAGAGTTTTAAATTCTATCCTCAGTAGTCAAATCATCCATAAAAAGAGACAGTGTTTAGTAGACCTAACATACATCGATACCAATCTGTGTTTTGCGGGCGGATTCTTGGCCGTCATGTCCGACTGTAAACCCACAGATGCAGAACTGTTAGACGGGGCAAGAAAGTTGCATGAGAAACTGGGGTGGTCAGATAAAAAAACAGATTCTGCTCAGTGACATAGTGGCGTTTGAACAGCATTTAGGAGTCAACATACAGGTGGTGCTTTATGTGGTGAAAGGTGAGTAGGGTTTTTTTAAAACGGGAGGCCCGGGGTACCACAAGACTTTTTTCATCCTGTTGCACAATGAGCATTATTATGGGATTCTGCATGTGAAAAAGTTGCTTGGTGTGAAAAATTATTGTGAGTTTTGCCACACAGTGTACAGTCACGACCCCTCTTGCAGGTATCGTTGCTGCCTCTGCTTGAGCGCGACGTGCTCAGACAGTGTGGGCGTGCAGCTGAGGTGTCCTAACTGTAGACTGTATTGTCGCTCCAAAGAGTGTTTAAACAGATACGTCGACTGTGCATTGAAAAAACAAGTCGAATGCCTGTCTAAAACTGTGTGATAAGTGTCAGTCTTACATGGACAAGGGGCACAGGTGTAAAGGGAGCCATTGTAAGCAGTGTCAGGGTGTCCCGATATTTCGCGGTACTCCGCTTTTTTTTTGCTCCTCCGGCAACTGCCCACCCCATGTGTCCCGATATTTTCTTCCTCTCATCTGGTCACCCTATGTAGACAGCCCAAATAATTGGAAAACTATATTTTGTACCATTTTGAATGCACGCAGGAGACGGGGTTGCATAGCCCAATTACATTTTTGCTGTGTCCCTAAAGCTGGAGAAATCCTGGGAATTTAAGGGCGGTGAGTGTTTTTCTACTTTTGTTAAGACCTTTATTGGCAAAAAGTTCCAGGACTACATGTTCCTAGTGAACAATTCCAAGGTTATGATACATATTTTGTCATTAGACAGTTGCTGAAGATAAAGATGTGCATAGAACGGATAACTCAGGGTAGTAAACAAATGGGTATATAAGTTAAGGCCCTGGGCATTCGTTTTATAGACGCTTTAAACTTTAAACCCATGAAGCTTAGCAAGCTCCCGCAGGCAATGGGGTTTGAAGGTTGCAAAGGGTATTTCCCACATTTTTATAACACTTTAGAAAACCAAAATTACGTGGGGCCTATGACCGGGGAGGAGCACTATGGCATAGACAGCATGATGCCCAGGGAGAAAGCAGAATTTCTTGACTAGTATCGGGAAAACAGATATGAGATGTTTGACTTATAGAAAGAGCTTGCGTATTATTGTCAGCAGGATGTCAAAATTTTGAGACGGGCCTGTATCCTTTACAGAGAAGAAATCATGAAGGCGGGAGAAAATGACAGAGATGGGAGATATTGTAGAGAGAGGCCCTGGTAAATTCACAGAGGTAAAATTGTGTATAGATCCTTTCCGGTACATAACGCTAGCATCTGTCTGCATGGCTATATATAGGTTTATGTTTTTGCAGCCTAACACAGTAGCTCTTCTTCCTCCAGGCAACTATCATGGGCAGAAAAAGAGATATCTGACCCCCTCTATTCAGTGGCTGTTGTATACCACTCACAAATAAAATATACAGATATGGCATGCTTTACAGGGTGGGGAATTACAGGTAGGCCCCTACTTTCTAGACGGTTATGCCGTCGTTGATGGAGTATGTACAGTCTTTGAGTGTTTTTTCCATGGCTGTGTCACCTGGGACGGGACAACTTTTGGGTTTCTTTATTACAAGATGCAGCTCAAGACCGACTATCTGAAAAGTCTTGGTTATGTAGTGAGGACCCTCTGGGAGCACGAGTGGGAGGTGATGATAGAAACAGACAGGGAGCTTGCAGATTTCTTAAACAAAGCCCAGCTGCCTCAGCCTCTCGTGCTTCCGAGGCTTCCGGGGGTGGTGCTGAGCTTTGATTGGAAGAGGGCAGTAGGGGGAACTCTTAGGGGGTAACATGACCCTCTTCTGGGCGGGTCACCCTGCCCTGGAACTCCCCCTGATTGGTCAAATCTGCTCTCGGGGAGGTCCTCTGTGGCTGAAACCTATCCTGATTGGTAGTGGGAGGAATTTTTAGAAGGGTCACACAACCCACTTCTGGATGGATCACCCTGCCCCACAACACCCCCTGATTGGTAAAATCTCCTCTCACCCTACGGGGGGTGAAACCCATCCTGATTGGTAGAGAGTGGTGTGAGAAGTTCTTAGAGGGGTCACATGACACCCTTTGCTTCTGGTCATGTGTCCGTCTTGACCCCAGAAGTAATAACCCAGGGGCACAGGTCTCAGGGTGACAGGAGGGCGGGGCCTGAGAGGTCAGGGGGCGGGGCCTATGTTTGATTGATGGTAGGCCCCTTATACTACTTATATTGATACCTGTATTTACATTTGGTTCCCGTAGTAAAGTTTGCAAAGGTCTTTGAGATGTAAGAAGCTATATAAATGCAATATAACGTCATTATAAGTGAAGTTTAAACTCCATTCACTCTATTTTAAGTAGCATTACATTTTTTAAAATATCAAAACGTAAAGGAAGTATGGGAGAGGAGAAAATTACTGTGTATGTCATAGAGATGAGCCTGACTCAAATTCTAAGACACCAGGTCTGGATCTCAACTTTCTAATGTCTCCAGTCAGAACACCAAATGCAAGCTCCCTAATCCAAATATTGCACCCCTATATTATGGAGTGTTTTGGTGCAGGATATTGTTTGTTCTGATGCCTTCGTTTGGGATTGTGGGCTTTCTCAGGTCCATTACTATAACATAGACGAGTATTTTTAAATAAATTAAGAGCTGCATATTTTTAACTTACCTGACTACAATGGCTCCATGTAAATATACATGTGCATAATGGGGCAAATCCTAAGGTGAGGCATAAGATCAGTTAGACCCCCTTATTATATCTACTCTACCAAATGTGGAAGGAAGTCTATGTTAGTGTAACTTACATGTTGAGGAGTCAGAAGAAGGTGCAAGTTAAAGGAGTCTCCATCCTTCTAGCTCCTCAGAAGGTGACTTACACCAAACCCCCTTACACATTAGTAGAGTGGATGAATGAAGCTGATGTCACTGAAGGCATAGTCTTGCTGCAGTGGGATTCCACAGGTATCACAAGTGGGGGTCTATACTTTTGCCTGCAGAATCTCAGTTACTGGCAAAAATAGAAGAGGACTGCATCCAGATTCATTCTCAGATCCCAGGCTGATTTGGCAGGCTGGGCAGCTAGAATAACCTTTCGAACTAAAAGCCAATAATCACAAAACCCGTCAATGCGGTTTTCCCAGACACATACTTTAAAATAGCCAAACAGAAAACAAATCCCTCCCAATTTGCCTTTTATAACTACACACACAGTTGCAGCCTAGATCAGATGTTTATGGCTGTGTCTGAAATCCTGAAGAATAGGGGTTTTAAACGAAACTCTGACAGACCCTTCTAGCACAAGTAGTGGATGCTGTTGCTGCTGCTATGAAAGTTAACTTGAACTGCAATTAAAATTCCTCGTGTTCAAATGACAGGAACATCTGACAGCTCTTGCAGTCTGTCTTGTCATTGACACTCAAATATCTGTTGTATTATGCTCAGTAAGTTTTCATTAAAGAGTAACTCATGATTCAGCCTTCAAATATATAGTTCAAATTCCTATGATTTGCTTTGCAAGAAAAAGAGGATTTTCATAATTATTTACATTAATGTTTTTAACAGCCAACAGATGTATGTATATTTAAAAAATTCATTGACATTAGGAGGTAGAACTGGAGAACTCACTTAGGTTAGAAACCTCAGTGGACAGTCTTTTGCTTTACTTACCAGAAGACATAATCACACACTCTGAAAAGACTTTAAACTAAATTAAAATAATACATCTGTTCACTGAGACTTTGGCAGAGAGAATGAAGGCATCCATAGATATTGACTGCATAGATCAGTAAGTTCATTTATAGGTCTTCAACATGCAGACTGATAGATCTGAAGATATAATCCCCATGAGTCCTAAAGTTATTAACCAGAATAGTTTGAAGTATTATTTATCTCCTAAGTACTATTTCTGCTATTTATTTATTCTGTTATTCTTAGGTATAGCCCATCATTTCCATACAGTCATAATACTAACTAGAATATGGAATACCCATGGAAAGGTCTAAAAACCTACTGTCATGTCTGAACTTCAAATAGTTCATCAGTTCAGTATAGGACCATTGTTTCCTAAGCTTCTCTGAACCTCTTTGGTCTAGACATCAGGCTCGAAAGCTTGCAAGATCAGTCTGCGTTGGCAAGGTTTCCAGCACATCTTGGATTTAACTGGGTCAGAACAGTATGGTCAAGATATTCTGGACCAGTGGTTCTCAAACTTGGGACGATGCTTGTTCAGGGAAAGCCCCTGGCGGGCTGGGCCAGTTTGTTTACCTGCCGCGTCCGCAGATTCGGCCAATTGCGGCTTCCACTGTCCGCGGTTCATCACTCCAGGCCAATGGGGGCGACGGGAAGCGGTGACCAGCACATCCCTCAGCCCATGCTGCTTCCCGCAGCCCCCATTGGCCTGGAGCGGCGAACCGCTGAACAAGCAGCGGCCCTAATTTGAGAACCATTGTTCTGGACCATCTACATACGGTCCTATTGAAGAACAGGAGATGAAGCAGCAACAAAAAATGAAAAGTGTTCAGCTTCTGGTTAAGGTAAATTTTTTTTAATTGGAACCTGTCCACAGGTCTCTACCAAACCACCACTCACTGTTGCTTGTGTTTCATGGTTTAAATATGACCTGCAGTGTGAGAAGAACAGTGTTGAAGGTTCAGTCCCTTGCTGATGTTGGAGCCCATCCATCTGTGTCACTCCCTTCCTGCAGCTACTTGGACCATTCTGTGTATGCCTACACAGCAAAGAAAAACCCACAGCTGGCCCATGCCAGCTGACTTGGGCTCAGGCTGTGGGGCTGCTTCACTGATGTGTAGGCTTCTGGGTTCAGGCTAGAGCTTGAGCTCTGGGACCCTCCCACCTCACAGGGTGGTATAGCCTGGGCTCCAGCCGGACACAGCAGTGAAACAGCCTCAGATCTCTACCAAACCACCCCTCCGCACAGGCCAGCCGCAGGTATCTGGTTTGTGTAGATACGCCCTCTGTGGTCTGGTCCTTCTTATGACTCATCCGGAGAGCTGAGAGGCTGAGAGCCTCACCCCTCCTAGGGAAACAAGAAGTACAAACAAAAACCTAAAGCCTTAGTGACCCTGAACCAGGTCTTCAGCCCCAGTGTAGGCTCAGTAGTCCTTGCTTCTTTCCTCTTCAGGCTTACACTGCCTCTCCTGTAGGGGGGTTGCAAGGGAACCCAGGCCCACCCTCTCCTCTGGGTGATAAGCAGCTAGGGTCTGTTTCTTATTACCTTTGCTAGTTCCCTTGGCTGTTTCCTACCTTTGCCTGTTTGCAGGTGTCTCTCCTGGAGCTGTGCTCGCCACTCCTCTCTCCTTGGAGCTTCTTCTCTCTGTGCAGCTTTTCCCAGTTTGTTGCTGAGTTTTCTTCTCAGGATGACTCCCCTCTGGCAACCACCTGGAAGCCCTGTTAGCCTCTCCTTTCAGGACCAGTTCCAGGGTAAAAGCTCACTGCTGTAGCTCTCTTCTCTCAGTGTTCTGCTTTTGGCCTCACACTCCTTCCTTGATAGAAACCACCCAGTCTGGCTATCCCCAGATGGGTCTAATCCTTAATTTCCTGTCTCCCCGTCCAGGTGTCACAAAATGGACTAATTGGGATCTCGGCTGCCTTTAACCCTGTCATTGCCAGTGTGGGGTCAACCCCAGATGGCCAGTTGTCTGGTGTGACTTTATCAGAGGACATGAAGTGAAACTAAAGAATAATCATTCAAATATTGAAGCTTATCAGAGAGGCCCTGTGAAAAATACAAGAACCACTTGGCACATCTTCTGTTCCTCACAACTGCCTGGCATCCTTCCAGTCAAATATTGGTTGCTTTAGAACATTTAAAATATTGAGGAAGTGCAAGGTTGCATACAAGTGTCATAGGTATCAGCAGGAGCAAACCTGTGACCTGTAGTCCCCAAACCAAAAGCCTCTACACTCTGAGCTAATGGAGAACTTCCTTACCTGGGAGAAAGTAGCAGACTGTTACGGGCATAGGGGCCAGCCAGAAGAAGGATAGATGATCATATACCCAGGACTGGTATATCACAGAAACATTAAGAATCCAGGCTGGAATTTTCAGAGGTCTATGGGAGTTAAGCACCCAACGCCCATTGAAAGTCAATGGCATTGGGTACAAACCCCCTAAGAAGCATCACTACATTAAGATTTAACCAATATTTCTAATTTGATCATCTGAATGTGAGGTGGGCACAAACCAAACTCCTGGATCCAACCCCCCTCTGCCTTTTGGGGTGTTCAGAAGCTGTACTCAGATGCCTACAGCTAATTATACTGCATTCATCAGTGTAGTATCTGAGCATCTTCAGTTGTGCATTAAGTAACGTGACTAACATCTGTCCTGTGTTTGTTCTCTTCTCCTTTCCCCGGGGGAGAAGTATGTGCGGTGGAGTGTTTTGTTTTGATTTTTTTAAAATAACACACACTGCTCTGTATTTATATTAGAGAGAGCAGATAAAAGAAATGTGCCTTTCACTTAAAGTGGAAGGGGTGGGATTTGTGGTGGTCCTTAATTCTTGTGGGAGCTCATTCAGCATCTCGCACCAGTTCCTGAGAAAACTGTCTCCTGCACAGATGAGCTTTACCCTTACTGTAAAGAGCTCCATCATGGCAGAGTTTCATCATGGTCTTCATTCTGTGGCTTTAGTCAATCTTGTAGGTACCCTGACCTCACACCATTGAGTGCCTGGAAGAGAGGGACTGAAACCTTGAACTTGATTTGACATTCTATGGGAGCCAGTGTAGGGTGCAGAGGACAGTTCTGATGTGTGCAAGGGAACCCCACATCTCTCTGAACAGCATTATATGAAAGTTTATTGAGCAGGTGCTGTGTTTAATAGAACACAAGTTAGTTCGTTAGTCCCAAGAACACAAATCACAAACCATAACATTGTAATTAAATTAAATTATACTTTATAGGCACCTAACCTATTTAAATATATATACAGAGTTTGAAATGCTAGCGCTAATCATTAGAGTCATTAATTATCTGATAAATTACACATTAAAATATGAAGTAGGTATCATTTTTTAAAAGATTTACTGAACGTAAAAAGACAGTGAAATCGCACGATAAACTAAAAATAATAAGGGGGAAAAAAGCCAAGTAACAATTCTTTTCAGGAAGCTTAATAGAAATATGCTTTATGCCAGCCTGAGGTCCAGAGAAGCTGAAGTGATCACAAACTGCATGTGATGGCAAGCTATAGCTCTGGTAAAAGGCACCGTTGGGAGGTATTGGCCCTGCCATTGTATGAGGAGGGAAATGTAAATGGGTTCAAACCAAAGCCCTGGCTCTGGCCACCAGACTCCGGCCTCGATCTGGGTCTCATGGAACTGAAGACCTTCCAACATGAAGGGGATGTGGCAAGCAAGAGCTGGAATCTGAAACCAGATCTTTTATTTTTTGTTTTATAGTAACACTTAGGGGCTCCAGTTGAGATTGGAGCTCGTCTGTTTGAATGTTCCCAAGACAGCGCTATCTATTTGGAACCCAAAGCAGTATGAAATCTGGGAGACTGTTCTTTGTAGCCTGGACTCACACTACTTTTTTTGTGTGGCAGTTTTCCATGATGTTAACACATCTTTGCCCAGGGTAGCAATGGCAAGGGTGCTGGTGCAGACCAGCACAGCTGGCTGTCATCATCATGTCATCTGGACCTTCTCTGAACAGGGTTAGACAACATGGTGGTTAAAATGCTGGTGCCCTGTATATGCTAGCTGTCCCACCACTGCTGCCACTGCTAGAGCTGCATTGGTGAGAGGCTTCCTGAAAAAATCTTGTGTACACACAATCTGTGATGGACAAGCCCATAGGGTCCTTAAATACATCTCATCCCCACTTTAATTTTCATTTATTTAAGCAGATTAGTTATACAGAGGTCTCCTTCAGATTGTCGTCTTCATTTAAAAAGTCGTCTGCAGAATTTGTAGTCATTTTAAGCATTCTAATTGCCACCCAACCAAAATCCTCTGCTAGGTGATGAAGCTGCAGAACCCATCTACCATGGTCTGTTGTCATGGTTCTCCTATCTCTTCAAGCTGCCGGTCTCTTGTTCTGCTTAAATTCAGTATTTGCGCTGAAGCCTGAAGCCATCACTCCTTGATGACATTTCATACTAGAAAAAGCAATATGCACGCGTTGATGGGACAGAAAATACAGTTCAGTGTTCATATGTTCTACTGAAGTAGCCCTTCCCCAGCCTAACTTGAGTTTTGATGGAAAACAGAGAGTTTTGGGGCAATTATTTTTCAAGATAAGTGAAAAGTTAATATTCTTGATAAGCTAGGAAAGTCTGACAAAATCACTATTTGGCTAAATCAGATCAAGGGATTGTTACCTGAAGTAATTAGATACTTTTTATCAGCAGTTTTTGTATATTACACAACGTAAAACTTACCATGTTTCTCAGATTCAGGGAGAAGGCCTCAATTCAGCACAAGCATGTGCTTAAAATTAAAGCCCTTGTGCAAGTTCTTTACTAAATAGGGACAGTTTGCTGTATCAGGGCCTTACTGAGGTGGATCTAAAATAGTTTTTAAAAAGGCTTTGAATATTCAAGGTCCAATTCTGCACCCTGTATCCAGACAAAACTCCCAGTCACTTCACGTGGGTGTTTTCCCTAAGCCAGGACTGCAAAATTGGGACGCCAAACAGTTAAAAAATATTTTCCCCCTAAAAGGGGTGTGTGTGTGTGCGGGGGGTGGGGGTGGGGAAATGACACACAAAGCATAGAGACTCTGAAATTACACATCTGCCTGTACTACTGATGGGTTATTTATGGGGCGCACGCAGGATACAGCACATGACTTTTATTGATCGCTATGTTCTTAATGTGTTTAAAACTGCCCCACCAAGTGCCACGGTGCAGAGCAGTTCTACCGCTCAGTATAAAGAGCCAAAATGCTTCTGAATAAAATCCAGACAGTGCATCCCAACGTGTCAGAAAACACCCTCTAGCATAACACGTCTGTGCTTGTTGGGCTCCCCTGGTGAGGTTCTCTGCTATGCCTCTTACGGCCCTTTAAGCCCCCTTCATGCCCTCCAAACCCTGGGCTGCTCTCGGGGGTTGGAGTTGGGGGCTGGAGTGGAGTATAAATTAGACAGTTCTGAGAGCTTGTTTAAGTTTCAGCAGCCTCCTTGGGCAGCAGCCCTGCAAGCTGTGCCTTCCCCCCGACACCCTTTCCCACCACTGAAGCTCTACCCACAGCACGAAGGCACCAGGGCTTTTAAAGGGGTCCTCAGAAGGCAGCCTACAGCTGTCTTCTCCAGCTCCTGTGATGGGGTATGTTCCCAGGGCTCGATCAAGGGCTTTCAGATCCACCACTCCATCCCTTTTACCCACTATACAGGGACTGGAGTAGAGGTGAGGATCTCACACTTTCCCTACATTACTAGGGTTAAAATATACCATTCAATTAGTCATGTATGAATCACCTACCTCATCATCATCATAATCCCTCTCAGGAAGTTTCCTTGTTGGTGGTCCCATCTCATAAGGGTTGCTTATCTCAAACCCTCGGTTGACTTGAGCAGCATTGCTAGTCTGGATTCTGGGAAAGATTTTGTCATTTGCAGCAGAGTTGATGGCAGAAATATGTCCAGGTGTGTCTCTTTTATTTGAATAGTCCTCTGTCAGCAAATGCCTCTTCTCTGGACTTCTTTGGCTTTTATTTGCTCTTTAATGAAAAAGAAAATTATCTTTTCCAAGGCTTAACTTTTAGATGTATCTTGATCCATCTAACCCCCCACTCCTTTCTTATTTTTCACACTCTCTTGTCCCCCTTTTTGAAATATGCAATGAGAGTAATTATTGGTGCACGGGCTGTGTGCTATGACATCACTTGTTACAAAGGCCAGACAGGGCAGTTTATAAAGCAAGCCCCCAAACTTCTTATTACAAATATGGTTTAAGGTGCCAGGAGAGGCAGAGATCAGAGAAACTCCTTTCTATATTGTCATAGGAAGAGGGAATTCTCCCTGACACAACACGAATTGCACTTGTAACTGTGTATGCAAATAAGAAACTGGTATGTTAATTTATACCCATTACAAAAGCTACTTTCATACATGCAATCAAGAAGCTGTATATGCAAAATATGCATGTAGAATTGCTGATTGTGTGCACAAATGCATATCTTGCATACACACCCAATCGCTTAAAGCCATGTTGGTGAAATCCACCCACTCTTGGAATGTCCTCCACCCTGCAAATGCCACATTGTACTCCTCCAGGAGTGGGCAAGGGTAGAGTGACTATGCACGAGTGGCCTCCATATCTCCTGCTTGGCAGGTTCATAGGCTCCATGGCAATTCAGAATAGGCCAGTGCACAGGGAGCTGGGCTGAAGAAAGGGACCATTGGGTCTAAGCTTAGGCAGATCTGGTGGCTGGGAGCCCCACATAAAAGATGCAGAGACAGCTGTTGCCATTCCAGCCTGTAGGCTGGAGTAGTGGCTGATGGGGTTGCCACCTCTGAGGTACAGAAAACTGCAACAGGCCTATTAGTTAGTATGCCAGAGACCCAACTACCCCACTATCATGCCAGGGCGCAGTGCAGGAGGTACCACCTCCCTCTGCCACCCATGCTAGGGTGAGGGACCTGCAGCCCCCAAGCCAGGCCCAGCCCAGCCCAGCCCCTCTTCTTCCTGCAGCCTCAAACACTCAGGCTATGCCCCCACCTTCTGCTGCTCTGAGCCCCATGACCCCAGCCCCTGCTGCTGGACACCCCAGGTTGGTCCCCTGTCGTCTACCTGGTGGGTTGGCTTAAGGACAGGCTGGCCCTGCAGCACACCAGCCTTCTTGTTATTGCCACTCCCTGTCCCTCAACCATGAGTTGCCCGTGAAGCCAGTCCTGTCCCACCTTCTGGAGCTCACCCTCATTGGCTTCCCACCTGGCTGCCCACTGGGGCTCAGTGCAGATGCAGCCCCCATCCCTGAGAAACTTTCTGACAAAACCCAGGACTTTTACTGTCCCAAGAAGACTTACAGATTTTCCATGACAGCTACTTCAAAAAAGGGATGATTCTGGGAAAACGTGGATAGGGGGCAACCCACGTGGCCAAGGAAGGCCACAGAGGTGCTGAATTGAGCTCCATAGTCTGTCCCTGGGCTCAGGGGGTGGAGTCTGACCTCCCTTCAGGCTGTGGGTTGGGGAGGAGATATGAATTTCGAGGTTTTAAGCAGGGGGAGGGGGTACATTTCAGCCATATCTGCATATTTTGGAAACAGACACCCAGGGCCAGATTCTCAACAATGTGAGCACACATTTCTCATGACAAACTATTAGAGTGACACGTTTACAGGGACAAATACCTAACTTTCATGCAAAATGGTGGTACTGATGTGTCCCACATAGACATTTACATTGGCAGCTTTAAAAATCTGGCCCCTCTTTTTGAAACTAGCCCATTCCGTAGAGCTTAGCAACCTCCTTTGTGTTCAAGCGCCTAGCAAGCAACTATTTGTACCTCACTGAAGTGACAACGAGTCCTGCAATTAAGCCCAGGATAAGAGCCCCACACAGGACAGCCACAATGATAAGGATCAACAAGGAATCTGGAAAGAGAGAGATTAAATATTCATAGCAAACATGGTATACAAGGGAACCTCTCCTTTACTACAACAAGAATATATTCTGGAGTAAAATAGATTCTGTACCATCAAAACATATCTGTCTTTCATGCTATTACTCTTGGGGCAGTGCTTATGAGATGGCCACCATCATGGATTGAACCAGTCTGCTTCAGAGCTAAAAGCATAAGCTGCTATAGTTTGAGCTAAAGCTCAGGGAGAACTGTAGCACCTCATATCCGCTGTGAATCTGCAGAGGGAGACCCCACAACACCAACTCACCAGTGGGTTACATACTTTCTCAGCTCAAAGGAAGCTCATTCAAAGCATCTGAGGCCCATAGCAGTTTGAACCCTGGATCAGCCCCCACTTACATGACATCGGCCATCTTATCTTGGCCAACACACTGGGGATTGAACTAGGAACCTCCAGAGCTAAAAGTATAAGCAACTACAGCTCGAACTAAAGAGCCAAACCTGTACAGGTAGGGATTATAACAACTCGTGTCCTCTGTGGATCTGCATGGGGGAGGGGGAGACTCTTTAACTCACCTGTGGGTTAGACTTGCCATCAGCAAACTCCTGCTCCTGCATTAGGCTCTGCTAGTAAAGACCCTTGCATGGGTGAAGAATTCTCTTGAAGTAAATGGTCCTCAGCACATGTTCCATACCAGCAGATCCCAGTGCAGGCTCAGGGCCTAAGGTTGCAAATTAACCTCTATTGCAACCTCCTATTTACACTTGCTTGTGCCTCTCTGACATATTTTCTTTTGAGCTGAAATGTCACCTGTTTGCTCTCAGTGAAAGCCTGGAGTTTTTGGAAAGTTGGACAAAATCCCTTTGTACAGTTACAAATTATGGAAGGTTGGGAAAAAATACCCACTTTGGTAAAACTGAATTTTTTCTTCTGACTGGCTGCTATTTTCCAAATTTTGTTTGTGAAAACAAAACAAAAAAGCCCTGTTTTTCTACAGCTATCATCTCCCCCCCCCCAAATACTGGTAATTACAAATCATTGAAAAAATGTTTTCGTTCAATTGTTTTTTTGGGGGGGGGCATGAAGGAAAGTTCTAGGTCAGCTCTGAACGTTTACATTTTTATCTCTTCACAGGAGACGAATGATGGGCTTGTGGTGCAAGTATGAGCCAGACGGCCTGGGTTTAATTCCCAGCTCTGCTACAGACTTCTTATATGATCTTGGGCAAATCATTTAAACACACACTGCCTCAACTGACTTTCTAGAAAATGGGGCTCATACTACTTCCTGACCTCATAGGGCTGTTGTGTAGATTAAAGTTTGTGAAGACACTATAAACTCCTCAGTCAAGAATCATTGCGTTGATCAATTTGGGGAGGAAATGTCAGTAGGGAAGTTCTCTTTTACACTTGCTTAGGATGACATTTTTCTAATGCTTTTAGTTGTGTAATTGCCTGAAGCACCGTGGAATAATAAAAACCACCTGCCCAACGCCATAGTGCTGCAGCTATGGTTTTTCTGCATCTATAGTGTGGAGGGGTTTTTTTAAATTCACATGGAATTAAGCAAAATACGTTTGCACACCTCCATAATGCTGCAGCTTCAGTTTCTGCTTTAAGATAGAGTAATCAGAAACTTATTTGCTAACTTTGGTGAGTAAAATAACTTTTCATTGCTCTTTACTCCTGCAGAGTCAGCACAAGTAAGGGCAGATCTACACTAGAAGTGCTACATTGGCACAGCTGCGCCCCTGTAGTGCATCTGGTGAAGACACTCTATGCCGATGGGAGAGTGCTCTCCTGTTGGCATAATTACTCCACCTCCGTGAGCAGCGGAAGCTATGTCAGTGGGAGAGCGTCTCCTGCCAACATAGTGCCGGTGTGAACAGTGCTTAGGTCGCTGTAACTTGCATCGTTCACGAAGGTGTCTTTTTCACACCCTGAGCGACATAAATTAGATCAACCTAAGCGGTAGTGGAGATGTGCCTTCAGAGAGAGTGAACTGGATTCCATTTCCTCTTGCACATTATTAATGCAGTTGCCTCCTAAAATCCAATCACTTAGCTCTGTGCAGCTACACTCCAGGCAATGAGGGTACAAATGTTTACTCTGAAGATGGCGGGAGGAGGGGACTGTAATTGAGACTATCACTTTGCCCACACAACCTTTAGTACTAGTAGTGCTGTCGCATTTTGGATCATGAGTTTGTCTGTTAAATGTATATCTTTGATAGACACCATCAGGTATGTGGGTGAGTTGATGTTGCCTTCTAAATGTTATTGTTAGAATTTCCCAAGATTGTCTTTAAATTCATAACCTTGCTGTTGCATTTGTGCATATTTGAAGCAATTGGTTTTCTTAATTGTTTTAGAAAAGGCATTAGAAGAAAGAACCCAAAAGCCTTCTTAACAAAATTCATGCAGAGCATTCAACGGGGTCAAAAATTTCTTCCTCTTATAACACTGTGCTTATGCCTGGCCAGCTTTTCTGTGCTGTGTTAAAACTATTATTAGCCATTTCCCTAAACAATCAGGCAAAACATGCAAAGGTTTTGAGGTCTTAGAGTTGAATACATCCACAGGTTAAACATATACCAATTTAAGAATACAATTGGTGGGGGTAAGAGGAGTTGAAACATTCACACACAATGCACCGTGCACTGAATTAGACCCCAGCCAGTCACAGTGATTAAACAGTCATAAGTGTCAATTCTTCAGCAAACTTCTCTCTACACAGGATGATACTGTAGGCACAACCCCTGAGAGGCATGAGGGGGACATTTCTCTCAAAACAGTATTTTGCTATCCTGTAAGATGTTGAAAAATTGGAGAGTTTGCAGATAAGACCCACAAGAATGAAGGAGCTCAATCTGTTCAGTTATCAAAAAGACGATCAAGAGGTGACTTAATCATAGTGTATAAATACCTTCCTGAGGAGAAAATATGGGGTACTAAATGGCACTTTAATGTAGCAGAGAAAGGTATGACGAGAACCAGTGGATGAAGTTAAAGCTAGACAAATTCAAACTAGAAATAAGGCATGAAGGATTATTAACCACTGGAACAAATAAACAAATTAACTACCAAGGGAAGTGGTGGATTCTCCATCTCTTGATGCCTTCAGATCAAGACTGGATGGTTTTCTGAAAGACGTGCTTTAGTCAAACACAAGTTATTGGGCTCAACGTAGCCGTAATTGGATGCAATTTGATAGCCTGTGTTCTGTAATCATCCTTCGCTGCTCCAGGCCAATGGGAGCTGCTGGAAGTGGCACGGGCTGAGGGACGTACTGGCCGCCGCTTCCAGCAGCTCCCATTGGCCTGGAGCAGCGAACCGCGGCCACTGGGAGCCGCGATCGGCCGAACCTGCCACGTCAGCAGGTAAATTAAACTGGCCCGGCCTGCCAGGGTGCTTACCCTGGCGAGCCGCGTGCCGAACGTTGCCGACCCCTGATCTACTGAATAGTCTGAACTCAGTTTCCATTTCTTTTACTATCGTTTAGGTGTGATGTGGGCTACTCTGGAGTAAACTGTAGCAACAGTGAGTACAAGAGTTTCTGATGTTTACTTATTGGAAAGATTTCCAGCAATGTTTTACTTGCAGAGCAGACCTTGCAATAGTAGAGTGAGCATTAGTAACATATGGAGATGCAAACACACCACGTTAACAACAACAAAAAGTTAGGAAAGGATGAGTTAAAAAGCATGAGCCCTGTAGCCATGTGGAGAGAAGCATCATAGACTTTAAGGCCAGAAGAAACCATTAGATCAGTGGTTCCCAAACTTGT